CCTTCCAACTTCCATTGCCTTTCTCTGGTTAATCTCTGCCAACTCAGTGATATTATCAAGTTGTTTCCCTCTCTAAAAGCCTTTCCTGCTTTGATTTTTCCCTATCTGATATCTCTCTTTTATTCTCTCATAATATCCTATACACATCTTTATGACTTAAGATCACATTTTAAAGTGAGTTTTTGTGTGGCATACTTCTGAAGGTATGCTCAGTATCTTTGGACCTTCTCTGCTTGTCACATTTTACATTTTTGGTTCCATTAGACCTCAAGTAGTAGTAGGACTCACAGGTAAATAACTTACCTCACAGGGTACAGTCAGAGGGTAAACAACTTATCTAGAGCCGTGCCAAGATTTTGTACCAAGACAGCCAGGATTCTGAACTCAGGTATTCTAGCTAGTGGTTCAAAGCACTACAGAATAGAAGTTCTGGGGCCAGAAGACTTGACTTTTTTCATGTGCATCCATCTGATCATATAAAAACTTGGATTCTCCTCATTAGTTCACTATGGGAAAAGGCATCCTGTAGGGTTTTAGGAGTCTCTGATCATCTTGATGAAGTGTATCATAGCACATCCTAGGATAGTGCGTTTTGTTTGCAGATAAGAGATTCTGATGACTCCTGGTGCATGACCTGATTCATTTTTAGGTGAGGAATTAGGAGATTGTTTTTGTTTTGTTTGTATTTCCTGAACTCTATATTAAAAGAGTGCTTGAAAAGGGTCTGTATTACATTTATCTTTAAATAACAGCTGTGTTAAATCCTTTCCCCTCCTAACCCTTATCCCTTATTATAATAAGAACCATGTGGGTTCTTGAAAAGAACTAAAAAGCATGGGCTTTTAAACAGAATAATGCAAGTCATTTAAATTAGTCCTGGTTACAATTATTCTCCGTAACTTTCAAGTCAAAGAAAAACTCTTTGGTGTGCCAAATGTAAGAATAATGAAATTCAAATTTATCAGAGTCTTAGTTGAAGAGTATGACTTTGCACCTAAGTAGAAGAAAATGAATAGAGGATCATTCGAGTTTTTTTTGGGGGGGTCGTTTTGGTCAATTTTGGTTTTGATCTTATAGACCACATCCTGATCTATAACAGGTTCTACTAATTACCCTTCAAATTTCATAGGCATGATTATCATGTTCGTAAGTCTTTAATTTTCTCATTATCAAACTATTATAAATACATGCATTTCAAAAATGGTAGAAGAGAGAAACATCACCTATAATCTTACCACATAATACAAGTACAATTAGAAAATCATCATACATAATTAGTCTTTCTGTTCTCCCCTGAATTTGTGGTGGTATGGATTTTTTAATACATAATTGTACTCATACCTCTATGTAAATATGTGCTCATCATTTTTGAATATTTTATATTATTTTATATCGCTTATATTTTATAGTATAAAACATATCTTTATATTTTAAATTATAATCTTTATCACCTTTTTTTTTACAGGACCATACGATAGTTATTGATTTCCTATAACCTGGTAGTTATAGGTTTCTATAATCTGGGGCCCCCAGTGAAGTTATTGCTCACTCTTTCTCTTCTCCTGCATCACAGGGTTGGTACAAGAAAGATACAAAAGCTGCATACTTGTCTCATTCTTCCTGCTCCACAGTGATGCTTTTAAATCAAAATCTCTCCCATCCTCATTTATTAACTCTTCATTTGAGGCTGAAGCACTTGAGCTTTACCATCTTAAACCTATGCTTGATTGATCTTGATTCTTGCCCACATGTCCTCTGGATATTGGCCACATTTCCCACTTGCCTGAGTTCATTCTGATCGTGTGCAATTTTGTGTTCATATGATCATTCCACCCAGCACTACTTAATAGTTCTTTGACTTCAGTGTAGATGACCTCTGCCTCTACCCTTCTTTACTCTTACATAGCCTGAGTTCATTCTGATCGTGTGCAATTTTGTGTTCATATGATCATTCCACCCAGCACTAGTTAATAGTTCTTTGACTTCAGTGTAGATGACCTCTGCCTCTACCCTTCTTTACTCTTACATAGTCATGTCACATACATAGACTGTAACAGAACTTCACCTCTGAAATTTCAAACCCCTATTCCACTCTCTGGTCATAACCCCCAGTACTTTTTGTAAGTGTCTGCTCTTTCTCTGCACCGATGATCCCATTCTTTTGACTACCATATTCTGTTCTCTACATTATGAGGCTCCCTCTGACCTTACTTACTTACGTATGTCCCTCACAGTCTTACAAGTTCTGTCCCTTCTTCCACTCTCAACTTTGCTGCCTACTCTTATACCGTTTGATTCTTCCTTCACACCTTATCTACAAAACCTCTACCCAAACTGAATCCAAATGTCACTTTCTTTGTTTCAGTTACTAGGTTGGATAGCAATTGATGGAGCATATTAGTGCTACTTCAAACTCATGCCCTCCATCCTCAGCTGAACCAACGTGTTCTCTGACTTATTTGCGCCAAGTACTCTAATAGTACTCCCACAATCAGTTGTCTTTCACATTCCCCTCAATGTCTATTCCAACCTTTTGATTCTTTTCCAAAAAAAAAAAAAACCTTTTCAACTCTCATCCACCTTTGACCCATGCCTCTTTTCTTACTTAGACATGCAAAACTGTCAGAAAGTAATTTCCTTAAATTGATAAGCTGTATCTATGAACGTCCTACAGAAAACATTATGTGCAACCATGAATCTGCAAACATTTCTATTAAAGTCAGAGGGAAAAACTTAATACCACCCATATATTTCAATAGTATGTTGCAAATCCTAGCCAATACAGTAGGAATAGGAATATATAAAAGATATAAAAGAGATAAGATTTGGAAGCAAGTGGCAATACTATTTTTATGGGGGGACAGTATGATATTTTAAGGAGAAGAAATGCCAAACGTATTAAAGTGACTAAATTTGGTATGTACTGGTCCACGTGGCAAACAGGTATACGACATGATGTTAACCCATGTCAGGTAAGTTTTAAATCTGAACTGGGTGGTGGGACAATTTTAGTTGTGGTGGAAAAGGAGTGAAATATATGAGAATCCTAAGGGAAATTTTGTACCAAAAAATGATCATCAGTAGGCTGATCATAGTGAGCTTAATTTAGCATTTTGGGGGAACATTTAATCTCAATTATTTTTTTCTTTTATTTTCGAATCTTCAAGGATATGTTAAAACCCTATTAAGAGAAGATACTTTTCTTTCATCCTCCTTCCCTCTTTCCTTCCTTCCTTTTTCCCTTTGATTATTACACAAGATCAATTATCCTCAAATCATCATTTTTTACTTGTTTTTGTGTTAATAAATACATGACTTACCTCTCTTAAAACTCACATTATCTTTTAATTTTAAATTAAATATTTTAAAGTTTAATTGTATTTGTTGTTTAAATGGAACTCGATAAAGGAATATGTTTTTATCCTGCCCCCCTTCTCTTCTTCTCTCTTCCCCAACCCCCCCTCTGTCACTACCTTCATCTTTCTGTCCTACTTTGTGTCGATTTAATCTTGGAGTAATTTCAGTCATCTTAATAAGCCAAATGAAGTAGTTGAACTTATTATCTGTCTATCCATCTGTCCATCCACCTACCCATCCATAAAGAAGTCATTTCATCTATTTATAGATGTGAAATTTCTATAAAATCTAATAAAATTTGTAAATATATAGGGAAAATTACAACTCTGTCTATATATTTCATCTTTTGACTATTTCTTCTTACAGTTATATTTCTAAAAATAGCATTTTATGCTATACTACATTTTGCTTTAAAAATTTATCTTCATTTTCCTGATAGGCCAGTGGATATCAGGCCTTGACATTCTGCATGAAGAATATATGAGTAGTTGCTGGTTTCACATATCCTTTCAACTAATGTCCGTTTTCAACCCTCCTGCAATGCCTCTCCCCAGAACTTGTATGCCTGAGTCTTAAGACTCTCAGGGATTCCAACATGCTCATTAATTCTCTTCTCATCAAAAATTCCTCTCCTATTGTTTAGGCTGTGGCTTTCACTAAATCAGTACTTATTTCTTCATGAATCTTCTAATTTTCCAAAACATGAACAATAATAATTTCTTGTTAATGAATGAAGGAATGAATGAATAATTTCTTTTATTTAAGTTTAATTATTTCTTACCATTATTTTTTGTCTCTGGAGAAAGGAAAAACGTCAAAGTAGTCAGCTAGCCACCTTTAATTAGGGGAAGCTCTGCGTTAAATTGTTTTCAGAAGCAAAATACGCATTATCTAGCAGATGTATTCAAAACTGGATTCAGATCCTTATCCTGTAATGTTTAGTAGTTATGTGATCTTTGGCAGGCAAATCATTTCACCTGTGTAAGTCTTAATATCTTCATCTATAAAATGAGATTAAAATTTATTTTATAAGGATATGGGAATTAGAGAACATACAGTGAATTCAAAATAACAGATATTGCAATAGCTTTTGTTATTTGAAAATAACATTAAAACAAGCTTGGAAGATTACAATTCCTTTTGTTAAATGATTTTTATTCAGGAATATTCTTAACTAGTAAAATAGTGCATAAATATTTCCAAAAATAAATGTACATTCAAGACTATCTTATATGTAGTTTATTTTACTTTATGGTATTTCTTTGAAACTAAGTTCTTCATAAGAATTGAATAATATTTGATGTATTTCTTTTAATTTGCATTTCCTAAGTTATGACTATTCAGTTATCTCACATGACAACAAAAAATGGTAATTATAAAATATACTCTTCAAATATGCCCTTAGAGAATTGGATAATAGGTAAAATAATTTTATCCAAAATATGAAATTGAAAAGGATATTTACACGTTATTGATTGACTTATACATCTTCCTCTAAACTTTCATTTTAAGAGATAGATTTCAAAGTTTATATTGACATATTTGAGTTGAGACAATTATCATTTTGATTCCTACTGCTAATATGTAGTATAAATCTTGGCATTTTAACTCAAACATATGATATTAATGTTTGTGTTTTTTAGGTATAGCTTACTTGAATGGAATGTGTAGTGAAAAGAGAAAATGTATTATTGCTGAAGACAATGGCCTGAATCTTGCATTTACAATTGCTCATGAAATGGGTCACAAGTAAGTAAAAGTCATGGCTATGTTATATATGTTAGCATATAACTTTGTAATTTGAGTTATTGAATTATACGCATATCTTTTGATTTTTTTCTTTGGGCTATAAGTTTTTGAAAATTAGAGAAGCAACAAGAGGTGGTGAAGATCATTAAATTTTAAAAGTATCTTCTGAATTTTGTAACTATTCCTGATACTTTAAATATAACCTTATTACATTATTAAAATCCTCATCAAGACAATCATTACATGATTTCAGTACACATTTCCATGCCATATAAACATTACAGTAATCATGAGACTACAAAGCTGTATATTTTTTAAACACCCAAGGAAAACATTTAGTACAAGTGAAAATTCTTCCGGTCTGTCATAGTACCTATGTTTGTTATTACCAGACTGAGTAAAGGAATTAACCTGCATGGTTTAGGTTTAACATAGTTGAAAGAGGATTGAATTAGACACATAATTAACATGGAGTGAACATTAACTACGTCTCAGGCACAGTTCTAAGTACTTTACGTAGATTGGTTCATTTCAGACAAAAAGCATGGAGGTAGTTATTGTTATAATTCTTATCTTACCAATAATATTAATAACAATAATAATAAGCAGTAGCAGAACATATAGTACTTATTATGTGCCAGATACATTTCTAAGGCCTTGTATTACCTCACAGCAGTCTTATGATGTAGTGCTATTAGTATATCCATTTTACAGGAATGAAAACTAAAGTATAGAGAAGTTAATTAATCCTCACAAAGTTATAAAATAGTAATTGTTGAAATGCTATAGTTTGAATATGGTTGGCCCCTCAAAACTCATCTGATTCTCAATGTGGCAGTGTTGGGAGATTGGGCCTAGTGGAAGGTGTTTGGGTCACTGGGGGGATCTATCATGAACAGATTAATACCCTCCCTGAGGGGGTGGGGGGAATGAGTTCTTCTATTATTTCCCAGGAGAGCTGGTTGTTAAAAGGAGCCAGGCACCTCTCTTCCTCCCTTCCTCCTCTCTTGCCGTGTGATCCCTATGCAAGGTGGCTTCCCTTCTACTTTCTGGGCACCTCTCTTCCTCCCTTGCTCCTCTCTTGCCGTGTGATCCCTATGCAAGGTGGCTTCCCTTCTACTTTCTGCCATGAGCGGAAGCAGCCTTAGGCCTATGCCGCAGTTTTCCCAGAATTGTGAGCCAAACAAACCATTTTCTTTATAAATCACCCGGTCTCAGGTATTCTAGGCACCTCTCTTCCTCCCTTCCTCCTCTCTTGCCGTGTGATCCCTATGCAAGGTGGCTTCCCTTCTACTTTCTGCCATGAGCGGAAGCAGCCTTAGGCCTATGCCGCAGCATTCCCAGAATTGTGAGCCAAACAAACCATTTTCTTTATAAATCACCCGGTCTCAGGTATTCTGGTATGGCAACACAAAAACTCACTAATATGTGGAGCAAGGACTTGAACTCAGGGGCTTGAGGTCACCTCAGGTCATACTGTTCCATATTTCTACATTATCTGCTGTCTTTGGGCATTAGATTCCACACCAGTAAAATGGGCGACATACCTGTGTTATGGAGTTAGTTTGGAATTTAAATTGCATAAAAACTATGCACATATTTTCAGGAAGTTTATTATAGTAGAAATGGCATGGAGTCAGACTTCCTTTTGACTGTACGCTTCCCTAATTGCTAGCAGTATCAGCAGCACAAATGAAAGTATTATAATTGGACTCTGATTTAGTGAGGTCCTACTCAGGGAGGTGAGTTTTATGGAGGCCTCTGGTCAAAGACATATTTAGTTTGGCCTTCAGTGTTTAAGAAAATGAATTAGTTGCCAACATTAAAAAGTATAACTTTGACATAAAAATTAATATTTCCAGACCTGGAAACACTGGACCCACAGTCCCATATGGCAGCCATTCCTTGGAGCTGAGCAACGTCTGTGCCCTTTAGACTGAGCCCATCTTTCTCAGCTCATCATGGGCTGCAGCAAGCACTCTAGTGTTGTATGCCCAGCTCACTTCCTTTTCATTGTATTCCTGGACTCTGCAGGCAATTGAATATAGTTGAATTGGCAGTGGAATTTGATTGGTAGAAGAAAGCTTAGAAGATGCAATTTATATAGGAAATGGCAGCGTTTGATAAAAAAAGTTATTCAAGTAAACCCAAATGGTCAAATTAAAATTATACAGCTGAACGAATTATCAAAAATTGAATACACCCATGATCTATAACCCAGTCCAAGAAATAGGACATTGATTTAAAACATTTTTTTAACTGAAAAAAAACGTGTGTGTTTAGCATGTACAACATGTGGTTTTCAAATGTGTTTACCTTTTGGACTGGCTAAAACGAGCTAATTAACATATGCATTACCTCATGTACTTAGGATGGGGGTGAAAGCATTTAAAATGTACTTTCGAGTGATTGATTTTTGATGTCACTGTTTTTAAATGAATAGATATACTTTACTTTTCTTTCACGCAGGCTTTCAGTCTTTAGGTGACCAAGAATTCAAGTGGTGAATTTTTACTTCAAAAAAGAATAATAGATAATATACTTTAAAATCATCATCCTTTAGGGAAAGTATGCAATGCAATAAACTCATTTAATATTGCATTCCAGGAATGATAGGATTTAGACTTTTAATTCCAGTATAAATTTGATAATTTAAAGATATTTTCAGTTTAATCGTGTTAGAAAAAGCCATGGGCCTCATTTGAAGGAAAAATGCTGAGAATAATGTTCAGAGACAAATAAATAATTTTAAGAAGGTAAGAGTGAATTAATTATAAATATAATTTTCATAAAGTAAATGTAAATATATGAATAATTATATTTTTCACTCTTTAGCTATGTATTAACAGCTTGATATATAAATAGTCTGAGTATATTTTTACAAATAGGCATTAAATAATTTTGTCAAGTACCCTGAATAGTGGAGGATTTACTTTAAAAATATATGTTTAAATGCATATGTTTAAAAACAGATATGCAAAATTAGATATTTCATTCTCTCCTGTATTCTTAAAATGTAGGAGAAACACTAATTAAAGGAACCAACCGCAATATAAGTTAAATTATTAACATCCAAAATCTTGGTCAAAAGCTACATGTACTTGAAAAAAAACTAAATGAGATAATTTAAGGAAAGGTCACTTCAGCTTTATGTAGTAGAAACATTGGTTTATAACCAGGAACTCAGATTGGAATGGCTAAAATGGTACTAAAATATTATTTTATTTGAGTATTATAGAGCTGTACCCAAAATCAATAGAGATGTGCCAAAGATATGTGTAATACTTGGTGGATTAGGACCAGGACATGAGATATATGTTGAACTACTCAGTTACTAAGAATTCTCCTTAATAGTAAACAATATTTGTCTTAAAAGTAGAGGGTAATTCTTTCTTGATGCTAGACAGTGAGAGACAATAGCAGTGTCTCTTGTCATGTCATCAATAGCATGTCTCTTGACAATGTCATCTTTATAAAAAACAAACTGGAGGAAATTTATCTATATAAGTTACATAATCATCATCCAGTGTAAGATATAAGGCACAATGTAAGAAGAAATAAAAGAAGAGGTCTCAAAAAAAAAAAAAAAGAGGGTAAACAAAAATGCTTTCGTATACTCATAGCCTCTCTGTGAGGGAAAATTTTCATAGATATTAGATAATTATATCTGTAGATTCCAAGTTCATACACATGCACACACATAAGCAAAAGCTCTTTTACTTAAGAGTTATGGTGAGGGAAAATTTTCATAGATATTAGATAATTATATCTATAGATTCCAAGTTCATACACATGCACACACATAAGCAAAAGCTCTTTTACTTAAGAGTTATGATTCAGAGTCATCTCTTCAAGTGAAATTCTTAAATCTTATTATTTTTTCTTTTTTGGATTTCTTTCTTTGTTAAATTATATAAGTAGAAACAGTCTCTTAGAAACTAATAACGAACTATAATATTATATAATTCTGCAACCCACAATTTTAGAATGGCAGAATGATTTTATTTAAACTTTTTAATTCAAGAATACATTTATAATCACAAATGAAATGTTTCTAAACTGATTTGAGATGAGTATATTTATGTTTGTTAACTTGAATTTGATTTCTAGAAATTCTCAGAACAACTCCACATATAGCTGGGAAAATTAACATGAGCCACCAAGTAATAAAAAATTAATCTTGGAGGTGAGGATTTGAATAACTCAAGGGAACAAAAAATTACTATTACAAAAAAATCTAAAACAATGTCAGCAAAAATGTACTGAATTCTTACTTTGGAAAATTATCAATTTAAACATATCTTAAATGCATTGATATAGAAATTGTTAGTTAGAATCCTCAATGAGAAAGAGGAAACAAATTATTTAAACCCATGTTTTTTGATTCCCTTTCAAAATTCCTTTCTAAACAATAGTTCAGGAGAGTTATTAATTTTCTTGAAACCAAAAAAAAATTTTTTTTTTTCCTTCTTGTCTTTTTTCGTGTCTGGCAACGGATCGCAACCCTCAGTGTCGCGCCCGTACCGGACCGGGACCGGCAACGGGATCGCAACCCTCGGTGTCACACCCGCACCTCGCTCAGCCAGTGAGCGGGAACCGGTCTGTATGTGGGATCCGAACCCTCGGCGGGAGCGCACCGCCACACTCGCAAGCGGCGCACTGTAGCAGTGCGCCACCGGGCTGGCCCGAAACCAAAATTTTTGACAAGGAAGTGTTTTTATTGGTTGTACTGAATTAATATATATTCATGAAATATGAATGGAATCTTCATTAATTTACTATGATGAAGTTTAAAACTTCATTTTTATGAATAAAATACCTTAGGTAATTATTTATGGATTCAACAGTGTTTGTTGAATGCATATGTGCATATGTATGTATTCACTATATTATATATACTTTATATGATCTTTATGAACAGCAATTTGTTAAAGTAAGAAATTTAACTTTGGTTTCAGGACACAACTTATTATTAATATATTAATTGTGGTTAGATTAGT